GATGGATTAAAGACTTAAACATAAGACCTAACACCATAAAAACCCTAGAAGAAAATCTAGGCAAAACCATTCAGGACATAGGCGTAGGCAGGGACTTCATATCCAAAACACCAAAAGCATTGGCAACAAAAGCCAAAATAAACAAATGGGACCTAATCAAACTCCACAGCTTCTGCACGGCAAAAGAAACAGTCATTAGAGTGAATCAGCAACCAACAGAATGGGAAAAAATTTTTTCAGTCTACCCATCTGACAAAGGGCTGATACCCAGAATTTACAAAGAGCTAAAACAGGTCTACAAGAAAAAAACAAACAAGCCCATTCAAAAGTGGCGAAGGATATGAACAGACGCTTTACAAAAGACATACATGAGGCCATCAAACATATGAAAAAATGCTCATCATCACTGGTCATTAGAGAAATGCAAATCAAAACTACATTGAGATACAATCTCATGCCAGTTAGAATGGCAATCATTAAAAAATCTGGAGACAACAGATGCTGGAGAGGATGTAGAGAAATAGGAACACTTTTACACTGTTGGTGGGAGTGTAAATTAGTTCAACCATTGTGGAAGACAGTGTGGCGATTCCTTAAGTACCTAGAAATAGAAATTCCATTTGACCTAGCAATCCCATTACTGGGTATAAATCCAAAGGATTATAAATCGTTCTACTCTAAGGACATGTGCACACGAATGTTCATTGCAGCACAGTTTACAATAGCAAAGACCTGGAACCAACCCAAATGCCCATCGATGATAGACTGGACAGGGAAAATGTAGTACATATACACCATGGAATATTATGCAGCCATCAAAAATGATGAGTTTGTGTCCTTTGTAGGGAAATGGATGAACCTGGAAATCATCATTCTCAGCAAACTGACACAAGAGCAGAAAATCAAACACCACATGTTCTCACTCATAGGCGAGTGTTGAACAATGAGAACACATGGACACAGGGAGGGGAGCACTACATACTGGGGTCTATTGGGGGAAAATGGGGGAGGGCCGGGGGGTGGGGAGGTGGAGAGAGATAGCATGGGGAGAAATGCCAGATATAGGTGAAGGGGAGGAAAGCAGCAAATCACACTTCCATGTGTGTACCTATACAACAATCTTGCATGTTCTTAACATGTACCCCCAAATCTAAAATGCAATAAAAAAATTAATAAAAAATAATCCTTAAAAAAATCTTAATATTAGTGAACTTAACCCATAGTATATAAAATTTAATATATCACAATAATGCTTGCTTTACTTTATTATTTGATTTGTTAGCATGTACCATTACAAATTCAGCCTGTATAATTCACCATGTAGTTCAATAGAATATGTAATTGAAGAGAACAAAGAAGAAAATTTCAATAGAAGCAGGAAAAAACATCTGATAAGATTGAATATGTATTCATAATTAAACTAGACATAGAGCAGAAAGAAACTTTTTGATTCTGATAAAGGGTTTCTATAGAAAACATCATTTTTGATAGTAAAGTATTATAATATTCTCTTTTAAATTCAAACGAAACTGAAGGTCTATGATAACCAATTTGATTAAATTTGAACTATGTGTCTTTAACAAAGCAGAGAGTCAAGAACAAAAAATAAGTGTACATGGATTAGAAAAGAAACATGTTATTATACACCTAAATTATTAAAATAATTTAGCCAGTTCAATATACAGAAAATGAACTCTTTCAACTGTATTTTTCTATATCAGAAACAATAAAATGACACTTCAAAAAGTCATATCATTTATAATAGTATCAAAAGATACATAGAAATAAAATGAACAACATAGTTGCAACACTTCTAAACTAATAACCACTAAACAGTATTAAAAATTTAGAAGACAGAACAAATCTATCCCTATGGGAATGCATTATGCAGTGGAAGAATAAAATCTTAGAATCCCAATCTGGACCCTAAGGGCTGTATGACACAGTAATTTCCCTCAAATGAGAATAAAAACAGGTAACTTGAGATTGTTGTGAAGGTTTAAAATAATGCAGGAAAAGTTAGTAGATGGTTGATTATTAGTACTTCTTATTGTATATCTGATGACCACTTTAAACTTACCCTGGATTTGCTTTTGAGGCTTTATGATATTTATTTACTTTGTTTTTTTTTGAGACAGAGTCTTGCTCTGTTGCCCACGCTGGAATGTAATGGCGTGATCTCGGCTCACTACAACCTCCACCTCCCGGATTCAAGTGATTCTTCTGCCTCAGCCTCCCGAGTAGATGAGATTACAGGCATGTGCCACCATGCCCAGCTAATTTTTGTGTTTTTAGTATAGACAAGTTTCTCCATGTTGACCAGGCTGGTCTCAAACTCCTGACCTCAGGTGATACACCTACCTCAGTCTCCCGAAGTGCTGGGATTAGAGGCGTGAGCCACCATGCCCAGCCTAAGGCTTTATTATATTTAAGGAGGGGTTTTCCAGCCTTGTAAAAGGATTTATGTACCAAACATGTGTCCTGACTTTCTGCATTGAAGGAAGGGCAGATTCTCCACATGTTTTATAGCCTGAACCTGAAGCTAATTTGCTAGAGACTTAGGGATCCTGAAGTACTTACTTTCTTTGCTACAATTTAGGTAGACAGAAAGATTCTTGTAGATGGTGCACAGTATCTTCATCTCGTAGATAGATGTATACTCACCAATGCACTTTGCAAGGTTGTAATTGGGAAAGAACAGTAATGAATTACCTAGAATGGTTCTGGTGGTGTTTGACATGCTGGTTAGCTGTTCTGAAAAGATAAGAGATTAGGTAGCATTACAGAAAATCAACTCTCCCCAGGACAACAAATCCTCCAGTGATGATCAAATCAAGCTCAGAAAATTGAAAACCAGGTAATTATCTTTGAAGAATGCTCTAGTGGCTGTCTGGAGCGGTCACTGCCCTCGATGACACAGTTTGTGCTGATGATTGTAGAATTCTGAAGTAGTTTTGGTGAAATGAGTATCCATATGATAAATCTTTCTAGCACTTGATAGGGGCAGGAAGTCACTATTGGCTATCTTTCAACATTTCCAACATAAACATAAATTGATTACCTAAAGGAGTAAAGTAGAGGCAGGAGATAGAGGCTAGTAATCAGCAGTAGGGAATGGATAGGGAAAATTCTGAAACATTTGAGAGTTCAACAAAACTTCACAGAAACAAGCTGGTAAGTTAATGTCTTTCCAAAGAATGAATTGCACATAAATAATTAGAGACTAAGCTCCTGGAGATATGAACGTGTTTAATTTATGAATTTCCAGTGTAGAATTTTGATAATGAATTCATACATTTGGGAAGAGGATAAAAGACAGGTCTAAAGAAAAAGTTCTTATAAAACACTTTGAGCAAGGAGAGATGGCAAAGACATAAACCGTCAAGTGCTAAAATTATGGCAAGGCTGTCCTATAGAGAAAAATAATTGACAGATAATGAATAATTCTGGATACTGGCTTCTTGTACATATGTAAAAAATATCAAGGGCTAATTCTATAGACCAGCACTGTCCAACAGAACTTTACATCATTATGGAAATGCTCTATAAATCCTCTCTAAAGAATTCTAGGGAAGGTCATATTTAATACATGGTCCTCTGACTTGCCTCAGCATCTGTTCTTATACTTTGGTAACACGTCCTCAGATTTTATAGCATTTTTGAATAATGTCAGTTTCTTTACTTTCAGTCTATATGGGCTTTACTTTTCTATATTACAGAATGGAATTGAGATCTGATGCATAATGTTTAACAGCGGTGGCAATATAGTTCTCATTTTTTTAATTAAAAAAATTTTAAATATATATTTTATTGCATTTTAGGTTTTGGGGTACATGTGAAGAACGTGCAAGATTGTTGCATAGGTATATACATGGCAACGTGGTTTGCTGCCTTCTTCCCCGTCACCTGTATCTGGCATTTCTCACCATGTTATTCCTCCCCAACACCCCACCTCCTGCTGTCGCTGCCCTAGATCCCCCCCACAGACCCCACTGTGTGATGCTCCCCTCCCTGTGTCCATATGTTCTCATTGTTCAACACCTGCCTATGAGTGAGAACATGCAGTGTTTTTGTGTTCTTGTGTCAGTTTGCTGAGAATGATGGTTTCCAGGTTCATCCACATCCCTACAAAGGACACGAACTCATCCTTTTTGATGGCTGCATAGTATTCCATGGTGCATATGTGCCACCTTTTCCCTGTCCAGTCTATCATCGATGGGCATTTGGGTTGGTTCCAGGTCTTTGCTATGGTAAACAGTGCTGCAATGAACATACGTGTGCACGTGTCTTTATAGTAGAATTATTTACAATCCTTTGGGCATATACCCAGCTATGGGATTGCTTGGTCAAATGGAATTTCTATTTCTAGATCCTTGAGGAATTGCCACACTGTCTTCCACAATGGTTGCACTAATTTACACTCCCACCAACAGTGTAAAAGTGTTCCTATTTCACCACATCCTCTCCAGCATCTGTTGTCTCCAGATTTTTTAATGATCACCATTTTAACTGGTGTGAGATGGTATCTCAATTTGATTTTGATTTGCATTTCTCTAATGACCAGTGATGATGAGCATTTTTTCATATGTTTGTTGTCCTCATATATGTCTTCTTTTGAAAAATGTCTGTTCATATCCTTCGTCCACTTTTGGATGGGTTTGTTTTTTATTGTAAATCTGTTTTAGTTCTTTGTAGATTCTGTATATCAGCCCTGTCAGATGGGTAGATTGCAAATATTTTTTCCCATTCTGTTGGTTGCTGGTTCACTCTGATGATTGTTTCTTTTGCTGTGCATATCTAAGCTTAATTAGATCTCATTTGTCTATTTTGGCTTCTGTTGCCATTGCTTTTGGTCTTTTAGTCATGAAGTCCTTGCCTACGCCTGTGTCCTGAATGGTATTGCCTAGGTTTTCTTCTAGGGTTTTTATGGCGTTAGGTCTTATGTTTAAATCCTTAATCCATCTGGAGTTAATTTTAGTGTAAGGTGTAAGGAAGGGGTCCAGTTTCTGTTTTCTGCAAATGATTAGCCAGTTTTGCCAACACCATTTATTAAACAAGGAATCCTTTCCCCATTGCTTGCTTTTGTCAGGTTTGTCAAAGATCAGATGATTGTAGATGTGTGGTGTTGCTTCTGAGGCCTTTTTTCTGTTTCACTGGTCTATATCTCTGTTGTGGTACAAGCACCATGCTGTTTTGATTACTGTAGCCTTGTAGTATAGTTTGAAGTCAGGTAGCATGAGGCCTCCAGCTTTGTTCTTTTTGCTTAGAATTGTCTTGGCTATGCAGGCTCTCTTTTAGTTCCACATGAAGTTTAAAGTGATTTTTTACTGTTCTGTGAAGAAGGTCATTGGTAGCTTGATGGGGATAGTATTGAATCTATAAATTACTTTGGGCAGTATGGCTATTTTGACGATATTGATTCTTCCTAACCATGAGCATGGAATGTTTTTCCATCTGTTTGTGTCCTTTCTCATCTCCTTGAGCAGTGGTTTGTAGTTCTTGAAGAGGTCCTTTACATCGTTTGTTAGTTGTATTCCTAGGTATTTTATTCTCTTTGTAGCAATTGTGAATGGGAGTTCACTCATAATTTGGCTTTCTCTTTGTCTGTTATTGGTGTATAGGAATGCCTGTGATTTCTGCACACTGATTTTGTATCCTGAGACTTTGCTGAAGTTGCTTATCTGTTTAAGGAGATTTTGGGCTGAGACAATGGGGTCTTCTAAATATACAATCATGTCATCTGCAAGTAGAGACAATTTGACTTCCTCTTTTCCTAATTGAATGCCTTTTATTTCTTTTTCTTGCCTGATTGCTCTGGCTAGAACTTCCAATCCTATATTGAATAGGAGTGGTGAGAGAGGGCATCCTTGTCTAGTACCAGATTTCAAAGGGAATGCTTAAATATTTTGCCTGTTCGGTATGATATTGGCCGTGGGTTTATCATAAATAGCTTTTATTATTCTGAGATACATTCCATTGAAACCTAGTTTATTGTGGGTTTTTAGCATAAACGGCTGTTGAATTTTGTCGAAGGCCTTCTCTGCACCTATTGAGATAATCATGTGGTTTTTGTCTTTGGTTTTCTGTTTATGCGATGGATTACATTTATAGATTTGCATATGTTGAACCAGCCTCGCATCCCTGGGATGAAGCCTACCTGACCATGATAGATAAGCATTTTGATGTGCTGTTGCATTCAGTTTGCCAATATTTTATTGAAGACTTTTGCATCGATGTTCATCAGGCAAAAATCTTCAATATTGGCCTGAGATTTTCTTTTTTAGTTGTGTCTCTGCCAGTTTTTGGTATCAGGATGATGTTGGTCTCATAAAATGAGTTAGGAAGGACTCCCTCTTTTTGTATTGTTTGGGATCGTTTCAGAAGGAATGGTACCAGCTTCTCTTTGTATGTCTGGTAGAATTTGGCTGTGAACCCATCTGGACCTGGACTTTGTTTGATTGGTAGGCTATTAATTGTTGCCTCAACTTCAGACCTCGTTATTGGTCTACTCAGGGTTTCAACTTCTTCCTAGTTTAGTCTTGTAAGGGTGGAAGTGTCCAGGAATTTATCCATTCCTTCCCGATTTACTGGTTTATGTGCATTGAGTTGTTTGTAGTAATCTCTGATGGTAGCTGTTTTTCTGCGGAATTGGTGGTGATATTCCCTTTATCGTTTTTTATTGCATCTATTTGATTCTTCTCTCTTTTCTTTTTTATTAGTCTGGCTAGCAGTCTGCCTAAATTGTTGATCTTTTCAAAACACCAGCTCCTGGATTTATTGATTTTTTGAAGGGTTTTTTCTGTCTCTGTCTCCTTCAGTCCTGCTTTAGTTATTTCTTGTCATCTGCTAGCTTTTGAGGTTTTTTTTTTTTTTTTTTT